ACTAATTAAATGGCGGTGACATAATTATATTTCATGTTAGCCTTCATGAGCCCTTCCCTTACTTTAATAACATCATGTCATCACAATTAGGTATGTACACTAAAACGAACATTTCTATGAATTGTGTATTATTTTCTCATTTACAAAACACTTTAAACTTTTGCGTTTATATTGAAATATGTGATTATTATCAAGCCTGTCATTCTATCTCCGAATCACCACAGAGTTAAGTCGTTGCTGTTATGTATATATTAAAATTACGCATGGCTCAGATTAAATTGGAATAAAAGTGATTCGAGTTAAACGACACCGTAGAACCATAGAACCATCTACATTATTACTAACGAGGCTTCATATAAATTGACAATGAATATGGTGCGTGGTCAATCTGTAAGTAATCGTTTTGAACTGCGTCCAAACATAGACAGTCTGATAAAAACAAAGACAGAGTTTGTTCTACGTCAACAGCCACCATTGTCAAAGTGAGATAATCCGAAAAGGTAGTCCATTTGAGGCCTATTTTTTTTAGCTTTCGAGGAGCGCAAACCCATGAAGTACAACTGGATAATTGAAAATTAATTATTTTTTTTGTTAAACAAAAAAGAAGTCCCGACTTTGCCAGTCTAGCCCCCACCTCTCCTCGTATGTATGTGCTAATTTGAGTTGTACGCGTAAGAATTATAGTTTGTTTTGGTGATAAAAAAATGTATGTGCCATCCACAATGTCACATCATAATGATAACATAAGCATTGACTATTTGTTGAATATTTCAAACTTTACGTTAAGATAGCATTCTACTGCAAGCCAGGTATAGGGTGTGTGCTGTCATATTAGGTTAAAAAATCATTGCTCAGTTGTGCACACAAAAATAATAAAACATGCAAATTGTATTATGACAGAAAGTTATAACCGTGCCCTAACGTTAGTCAGTCAGGGACTGGGTAATCATCCAGCACTGGTCACAGTGTTAGTCACAGAACACAGTTCGAGAGATTTTTAAATTGCAGCACTACTGAATATTGCATGTAACTTTGTTTTGACACAGTTATTCTTAGCAGTTTTCAAAGCAACATTGTTACTTCCAAACTAAACGTCAATGTCGAGGTGTTCCTAAATCATTTTCATTCGCTGCAAATTTTTTTTCATTTGTTGGGCTGTATAAAAAAAAATTGAAAATTTATCAAATTCTGGTGAGAACAAAGATTAAGCTTCGCATATCATATGCAACAGGAATGTCTATGAAATCTTTCGTTCAATGATTGATGAATAGTATAATATAATACAAAATTGGGCGAGTCAGAGTTTTTTTAAATTTACTTTGATGAATTTTAAATTTAAAAGAGAATTTATATAAGGGCATATTAAATTCGACATAATGATATCGAAATCAACAATGTTGTAGCCCCGATATTTCAGTGTTGTATTTGTTCTGATATCTATCCTCCATGGATCACTCTCGAGCAGCCAATGGTAAAAAAAACAGGGTCAAAATAGTTTCGAAAACAGCATAATTCATGTGTTTTACCCAACGCATCTCCATCTGCAGTGTCCTTACTCAATCCAAGTATACATCATTCACTCTTTGTCATCTGCAGATGTAATTATGTCGATTGCTGAATGCTTATTGATATTGGGAACTTCTGCAATTTAGTTTGACGGTGTGCTTCATTTAGTTTACCAACATAATTTATAGTACAGGAAGTGCGATTTTGGGGTGTATTGTGGGTTTCGCAGCGGGACAGGATATGCCCACTTCTTTCAAAAGTCTCTTGATTCGTCCTCATTATCTCCCCCTGAATTGACTTATGTACTGCGTCGTGTTTGCTCCTCTTTGTTTTTTCCGGAATTATAATATGCTTGTCGCTTATGATGTTGTCAGTGAGTGATTATTGATGCAATGGAATTCCATTTACCCAGGTAAGCTTGAAAGGCACTTAAAGTGCCTGTGCAATGCCCACCCTCACGTTTCCCATTTTAGATATGTGTCCCACTGAAATGGGGAGGTATTGATTTTTTTGCCGAAAATGATTACTCGTATCCAAGTAAATTTGGGATATTTCTCGTGTTGTAGCCACGCCCACTTATCCTGAAACGGTCCACTGTTTCCGGATTTCCGACTCTCGCCGAAAGTGCGCCACCAAATGCCAAAATGTGAGAAGAAGTCATACCCCTGAGCCGTAATAACACTGGTCATTCAGTATACTTTTAAACGATATATATTTTTCGGTCGGCGTTTCTTTTTTTTTTTTTTTTTGAATATATTAATTTTTTGAGAGAGAGTTTTTAGATGTTGTGTTGTG